AAACGTAGTTTGTGTAGGACAGTCTGAAGATGCTCTGTAGCAAGTTTGGTGTCAATTGAGCAAAAATTGTGGGAGGAGATAGGTTTAAGAAGTTTTACAGTTTTTGAAAAAACAGAGTGATGAACTTCATAATTTTAATAGGTTTAAGTGTACAAAAGTTTCTTCAGTATTGGGGCTATATTTTGAAGAAAGTTGTGAAGTTGTAGCACGTATTGTTGATTTGTTATGAATTTTCAAAGTTTTGAACTTTAGACACTTGCTGTAGCACCACCATCAGGACTATTGGCTTGAGTTTACAGCTGAGGATATCTGGCATGAGACTGGACCTTTGTGCAAAGTTTGGTGAGTTTTCACCCATGGGAAGTATGATTTCCTCAGAAGAAGAAGAAGAAGAAGAAGAAGAAGAAGAAGAAGAAAGAAGAAGAAGAAGAATACCTAGGATTACAATAGTGTCCTGGCAGCTTAGCTACCCGGATCCTAATAAAGGTTATAATCTTATCACTGGAGCAATCTATCGTCCACCCGACTCAAACCCTTTTGATTTCATGGGTAAACTTGAGGAAATCCTTTATGCAGTAAACAGGAAAAATAATAAATGCATACTCCTTGGGGAGTTTAACATGGACATCTCTAAGAATGATACAATTAAAAATGATTTTAGCAATATTCTACACTCATCTTCTTTTTTTTCCGACCACCAATATCTATACCATATCCATAATACCAAGCTGGAGTCTGGGGTGGTTATGTCTGATATATCTGACCATTTCCCTATTGTACTATTTTTAAATATATCTCATAAATCTGCACCATCTCATAGCAAGTTAACAAGTGAAGTACTGAACGAAAGAACTCTACAGTTGCTGTGTGAAAAGCTGGAGAGCAAAGCTTGGATAAATGTACGTAATGCTAGTGATCCCGATACTGCATACAATAGTTTGATCAATGAATTAACAGATTCAGTCAGTAAAACCATCCCAGAGAAGACTGTTACACAGAAAAATAATGAATGACACCCCTGGCTCACAAAAGCACATAGTAAAACTGCTTGCTCATTGTGTTAATTTGTCTTAACTTCATGGTGTTGTGCCAGAAATGACCAAAATTGCCAGAATCATTCCTATTTATAAAACTGGTGACAAAAATGATATCAGTAATTACCGTCCAATCTCTGTTTTACCAACTTCATCTAAAGTACTGGAAAGAGTTGTGTATAATAGACTAAGAGATTATTTGGATAAGCTGCATATTCTCTCTAGTTCTCAGTATGGCTTTGTGTCTTACTGAGGTAACTTAATGTCTCTTGGAGGCAACTTCATGTTTGTTTTGGTCATTTTTGTGTCACCTTTAAGCCATTTTGTGTCCCTTTAAGATCGTTTTGTGTCTCTTTGAGGTAACTTTGTGTTTGTTTCAGTTGTTCTGTGTCCCTTTAAGAACGTTTTATGTCTTTCTTTGGTCATTTTGTGTCTCTGTAAGGTAAATTTGCATCTCTTTGAGGCAACTTTGTGTTTGTTTTGATCACTTTGTGTCTCTTTTTAGTCGTTTTATGTCTCTTTAAAAACATTTTGTGCCTCTCCAAGGTAATCTTGTGTCTTACCGAGGTAACTTTGTGTCTCTTTGAGGCAACTTTGTGTTTGTTTTGGTCATTTTGTCTCGATTTAGCTGTGTTGTGTCCCTTTAAGTTCATTTCGTGTCTCTCTGGGGTAACTTTATGCTTGTTTTGGTCATTTTGTGTCTCTTTTTAGTAATTATGTGTCCCTTTAAGGACATTTTGTGTCTCTCAGAAGTAATCTTGTGTCTTACTAAGGTAAATTTGTGTCTCTTTGAGGCAACTTTGTGTTTGTTTTGGTCATTTTGTCTCTTTTTTGTGTCCCTTTAAGATCATTTAGTGTCTGTTTAAGCTCAGTCTGCGTCTTATTGAGTTTGTGGTATCAAGAAGTGGCTTCCTGTTGGAGAAGTAGGTCATGGCTTGTGCCAGTGACAGTTTGCTCAACAGTTGAAGTCTCTACAGTCGAGAGTTAAAGACACACAGAGGAAAGAAAGAGTAGAGAGTGAGGGAGCCACGGTCTCTGGTGCATCGCTAGCATTAGCATGGTCACCTTTGGCTGTGTAAATAATGCAAGGCAGTCATTGGCTGATTATTCAATTATTCAGCAGGGGAGCGGATCACAAGATAGAAGGTCCAGGCCCAAGACACAGGGCCAGACCTGCCCAGCGACCACACACAGACACCAAACAAAAAAAAAGACAAGTCATGCCAACCAGACCAGCAGTCATCTGTATGCAGCGCCACGCCACTGCTTGGGTCTGACTCACTATTTGTGGTAGGTGACAGTGATTAATCACGATTTGTCATAAGGTTGCCTCTGCTGTCATCTGGTGATGTGTCAATAAAGCTGTGAGGTCTGATAATGTTATTCAGCCATGACTTTATGGCACTATACCAGGCAGAGTAAAGCAAAGTCTTTGTCCTGTAGAGAAGAGGTGGTGGGGCCTTTTGTATATCTGTGCTCAGGGGCCCAGTGTCTCATAACCCACCCATGATGCCTATACAAGCCTAAACACACAAATAGACAACACAAAACCCAAATAGTTCTCTTTGCATGTTATTCAGACAACAGCCTATCTTGGAATTTACCTTTTAATTTAGTACGTGTGACACTTAGACTTTCTTTACAATCCAGATTTACAATAAATCTACAATGTGAACAAGGTGTAAGTTTCTGTTTCAACATTGAAGGGGACACATATGAAATGGGGACTTTATGGGTCCTCCACCAGAAAGTTTTCACCAACAAATACTTAAGCACCAATTTGCTCCTTCTTAGCATCAATTTATTGTGTAAAAGTCCTCTGCTGCATGGGCGGAGTATGAGACAATGGGCCCCTGGGCACAGATATAAAAAAAGGCCCCACCACTTCTTCTACAAAGGAGCAAGACACACAGACTTTGTGGTGGTTTTGTGTCTCTTTGTGGTTGTTTTGTGTCTCTTTTAGTCATTTTGTGTCTCTTTTTAGTCATTTGTGTCCCTTTAAGATCATTTTGTGTCTTTTTCAGATCATTTTGTGTTTGTTTTGGTCATGTTGTGTCTGTTTCTTATCGTTTTGTGTCCCTTAAAGATGATTTTGTGTCTCTCCAAAGTAACTTTGTGTTTGTTTTCGTCTTTTTGAGTCTCTTTTTAGTAAATTTATGTCCCTTTAAGGTCATTTTGTGTCTCTCCAAGGTAACTTTGTGTCTCTTTGAGGCAACATTGTGTTTGTTTTGGTCACTTTGTGTCTCTTTTTAGTTGTTTTATGTCCCTTTAAGAACATTTTGTGCTTCTCCAAGGTAATCTTGTGTCTTACCGAGGTAACTTTGTGTCTCTTTGAGGCACCTTTGTGTTTGTTTTGGTCATTTTGTCTTGATTTAGCTGTGTTGTGTCCCTTTAAGGTCATTCTGTGTCTCTCTGAGGTAACTTTGTGCTTGTTTCAGTCGTTTTGTGACTCTTAAAGGTTTTTTTGAGTCTTACTGAGGTAACTTTGTGTTTCTTTGAGGCAACCTCATGTGTGTTTTGATAATTTTGTGTCTCTTCTTAGCTGGGTTGTGTCCCTTTAAGGTTGTTTTGTACCAATTATTGGTCATTTTGTGCCCCTTTAGGGACATTTTGTGTTACTTTGTGTCTTTGAGGCAATTTTGTTGTTTTGTGGCTCTTTGTGGTTGTTCTACCAAATGTTATTTTGTTATTTTGTGTCTCTTTGCAGTCCCTTTCCATCTCTTTGCGGTCATTTTCAGTCTCTTCCTGGTCAGTACCTGTTAATTTACATGACATTTTGTAGATACAGGCCAATGGGGCCCCTGAGCCTGTTCAGTAATTCACCTATGCTGTGCTACTTTCATGTTTTAATTGGGGAGGAGGGGGCAAATGCACATGGACATGCCCCCTTTGCCCCCCCCCCTGAAATCTACACCCATAAATGTGAAGTTAAAGGAAGTGGCTTGGCAGGAGAAGGGAAATGAAATGGTCTTGCTCTGAGGATGACTTGTCAGTCTGCCTTAAAATATGACCTTTTCTCCCTCCCGCACTCTCCCTTTCTCTCCTACCCTCCCTCTCACTGGGTTTCCATCATCTTTACTGGAGGCTGACACCAAGGGTCAGCAGAGGGGTCATCACCATGGCTGCATCAATTCATTATGGCACCACACCCATTAAAGCTCAGGGCATTAACAAATGGCTGCTGATAATTACATGCTTGTGATGGCATGTGTGGTTTGGGTGGATGTGTAGTGCAGCCTGTTAGGCCATGGGCTCTGTGATGCCGGTAGGAAAGAGGAAGAAGACTTACACTCCAGGTGCTTTTTCTTGGGCGCCATCACTTCATGAGTGGTGGCTTTGCAGACAGCCCGGGCCATATCTGATCCCGTTAGCTGGTATTGCGCAGCGGCGATGCGATCCGTGAGCGTTTGCCCCGACATTTTCTCTCCGCTGAATCGACCACCTCAGGAATGTGTTTCACCCACAGGGCCGAGGAAATATGAATATGAATATATCACCCGGCTGCCTCCCTTGCTCTCCTTTCCTCTTCCCCGGATTGATAGGCCCGTGACCTTCTGTGTGGGCGGAAGAAAAGCGCACAGAATGAGCTCAAAGCAGCACATAAACGTTATTTTCGCATCAGATCGTGCGGTCACGTTGATGATATGCGCGGTGACATGAGTAGACTTACGCAAGGTTGTGAATTCCCCCCGGCTCGTCCCGTTATAGGCTCCGACCGTTCAGTTCAGCACCTTGGACAGCTAATGCCACTCGGTTATGTAACACTCAACTGGCAATGAAAGCTATTTTCTCACCCCGCAGCAATTTAATGCAAAAATAGGCCAATGAAAAACGCGGTGCAAGCGAGGCTCCTCCGCGTGTCCTCAAAAATATTCTTGTGAAAACGACTGTAAATCAACACTCCATAGGTCGGCCAAATATCCCGTTTGGAGGGGGCATCAGGTTTGGCTGTCTCTGCTCCACCGTCAGTGCATTAAAAAGAAGCTTTCAAAATAAAAGAAGAACCCGCAGTTTCCTCCTCTGGCTGTCAGACTGCGGTGTTTCAGTCCGTTTCAGGCGCGGAGATGTTGCTCCTGTCCTCAGATCGACAGAAAATGCGCACCGCTCCCCGGTGGTGTCGCCAACACTGCGCAGCGCAAGATGCTCGGGAAGAGGAAAAGACAGAAGGGAATTTCCTTTTTTCCTCCCCCTCCTCCTGCTCCTGTCGTTTGTTTATTTATTTGGCCTATCTATACGTCCATCCAGACTCTCCTCCCCCAGCGGGTGCTTGGAACAGGGTTGGGTGACACACGTCGCATCCCTCGTCTCTTAAAGGGGAGTCATAGAAGAAACTCATGTCACTATGCGCCAAAAGGGTTAATGCACGAGCGTGACTGGAGCTTATGTGCTGCTGCATGTAGGAGATGCATCTCACAGGTCTGCACGTATAGGAGGCAGTGACAGATGATGGAGGTGGAACATGTTCTGGAGATAGATAGATAGATAGATAGATAGATAGATAGATAGTGTGTGTAGTGGGCAGTAGTATCAGTAGTGGGCCAAATTATAACCTGAATCTATTAGCTGACCATAATAAACATTTTTATATAAAATTTTATAACATATTTTTTGGCTCATTCTCCCATTGTACCTCACTGCATTCTTGAAACTAAAACTTAAACAACTGTACACTTGTTATATGTATATTGGTAGTATGCTATCCCATGGATTCTTCTATGGCTATTTTAAATATTCTAATTTCAGTATACTTATTGTGTTTCATAGTAGCCTATATTGTACATTCTATAGATATCTTATTCCTACAAAATATGCTAAGGCTTATTTTTTGTACTGATATATACCTTTTGTCTCTTCTAGGGTTATATGTATAATATAATATAATATAATGTATATACAACACTACAAAATATACTTAAGATATAAACACTTAAATATACATTTAAAAAATGAGGTAGAGTGGGAGAATATATATAGGCCTATTGCACTATAAATATACTAAAATTAAATACATATTAAATTTGTATTTAAATATATATCAGCATAATCATAGGATAACATACTGGCAATATACATATAATAAGTAAAGAAGTTTAAAAAAAAACTTTTAGGTATAGAGAGTGGGAGAATGGGACAAAAATTAGCTTGCATAAATATTTGTGTTATGATCACATAATATATTAGAAATATATAATAAATATATAATAATATTAGATACATTTAATGTTCAATATAAAGAATACAGGCTACCACAATACACTAGATATATATACTAAGATTAAAATATTTAAGATATCCATTGGATAACATGCTAGCAATATGCATATAACAAGGGTACTTTTTAAGTTTTAGTTTTAAGAATGCAGTGAGGTAGAGTGGGAGAATGAGCCAAAATTATATGTTATAAAATGTTAAAATCTGTACTGTGATCACATAATAGAGCAGGGTTATAATTTGGCCCTCAATACTGTTGAGAAAAGAGCATACACAGTCCTTTTAAATGTGACCAGACTCCATATTTGTTCTGTATGGACATAGAAAAAAGCCTGTTAATTTTTTTCCCTTTTCTTTTCTTTTTTTTATTTTATTTTATTCAATTTTATTTTATTTGCAAAACTGCTTTTATTTTTTAGAACACGCATGTCACGGCAAAAATAAATAAATAAATAAATAAATGTAATTGCATGTAGTAACTTGGCTTGTTAGTGGTGTTTGGGGCGTCCCTGCATCCAGAGAAATTAATACATTGAGAAAAGGCACGCTGTGCGTCATTACGTCACGTCACATGACGTACACGGAACTGCAGCCACGTCGTCAAGGAGAGGCGGAACCGGTAGAAACAGGAAGCGTCTCATGACACTTCACTGCTGAACATCCAGAAAACAAAACAGTAAGTGAATAAAAAAAACAATTTAATGCGCTAACATTTATAATTTCAGTTTGTCTCTTACGTTCAGCACCGGAAGTCCCAGTTTTCACTGTGTGTTAATGTAGTTTAAGTAAGTTAACGTCAGTGTAAGGGAGCTGCTCTGTCATTCAATTGATATGATTCAGTTTATTGAGTTTATCTGTTCAGTGGGTGGTGAGACACTGCTGCTGTGATTGGGTGCAAACTTTGCCCTCTTCTTGTCCTTTGACTTGTTGTATGAAAGATTGGTCCAGGTTGTTTCAGCAGGTGTTTTAAAGACAGGTTCATTATGTTTTGATTCATCTGTATGGGTAAAAAGAAGTCCAAAAGATTTCTCAGTGTATTTTATATATAAAATAGTTTAAATTCGCCCAGTCTCAACCAGAGACCGCATCAAAATGTTTCTTTATGCAGCAATAATAGTGGCGTAAAGTTATGATAAATAGGGCTGCAAATAACTGTTACTTTCACAGTTGATTAATTTGTCTATTATTTTTGGTTCAATAGTTGTTTGGTCTTAAAAATATCAGAACATGGTGAAAAATGTTGATTAATGTTTCCCATATTCTAAGATGATGTCCTCAAAAGTCTTATTTTGTCCACAACCCATGATATTCAGTTTGCTGTCATAGAGGAGTAAAGAAAAACAGAAAATATTCACATTTAAGGAGCTGGAATCAGAGAATTTTAACCTTATTTTCTTAAAAAAAATACTGATTAATTGAATATATAGTTAGTTGGTGATTAATTTAATAGTTGGCAGCTAACCAATTAATTGATTATTTGTTTCAGCTCTAATGATAAACCTTTAATATGATGATATAACTGTGACAGGGGTCATTCTGCTCATGTAGGGGGCTGGATCATGGATTCTGACAGGTCACAGAATTCGGGGTAACACTTCCTCCACTGACTTGTCGTTTTTTTTTTAATGTCTGTGTGTTGTGTTTCAGTGATGGCCCACTTTCAGGAGGTATCAAAGCAGTCCACTCTGCACCCGAAGCCTTCAGGCTTGGTTCTGCAGTATGGTACCGCTGGTTTCAGGACTAACGCCAAACAGCTGGACCACATCATGTTCAGGATGGGACTGCTGGCCACTCTGCGTTCCAAGAAGACCAAAGCCACTATCGGAGTCATGGTCACAGCGTCGCACAACCCTGAGGTGAGAACAGCATCAGAAATATTAACGTCTTCATGCAATAGACATGTGATTTATTTTGTTTTCTGTGTGGATATTTTAGATCATTGGTTTTATTTTTCAGTCCTCACTTTGTTTATTTGACTACATGTTGTTTTTTTATATTCTTAATAGCTAATTTTATGTGATCCTACCAGTTTAAACAACCTCATAACCATAACCTTCCCTTCCATCTTTTTCTCATCTCTCTCTTTATATCTGCTCTTGTGTAGGAGGACAATGGGGTGAAGCTGGTTGACCCAATGGGGGAGATGGTGACGCCGACATGGGAGGGCTACGCCACCCAGCTGGCCAATGCTGAGCAGGAGGATCTGCTCGCTGCACTGAAGGACATCATCGAGAAGGAGGCCATAAACATGAGCCAGGAGGCAAATGTGTTTGTTGGCAAAGACACAAGGTACATGATCTTAAAGGATAACATTTTCTATCTTATCTAAATTCACCAAAGTCAGTTACCATCCTTAAAAAACATTTGTAAAAACCTGTAACAGCTGAGATGTTGGAATCACAGGATTTTTGTGATGAATGCAGTGACGATTGTCCAACTATTACCCCTTTCACATCGATGTTTGACTGTCACTGCCAGAAGGAGACTGTTCGCTTCTCTCCCTGTCCTTTAGTTAACACAAAGAATGTCGGCAAACTCGATCACGTTGCCCTTTAAACGCTCTGCTACCTCTGCTGTCCACATTTTTTCTCAAGTCACAGTCTGATATGACCAAATGGGCCTCAGGGTGCACTAAGATAAAAGGTAACGTCAGTATTTTTTATCCTGGAGCCTATTTTCCCATGTTTATGTGTCTTAGTGACTAATGGTAACAACAGTTTTTGAAATTGGTCCATTATTGAGTGAAAGTGCTGAGAAAGCTGCTCTTGATTGGTCAGAATTTCCATGTGGGAGAAATCCAGGAAGTAAAGCAAACTACACTTGAAAGATAAATGTGACACTTTCTAATGTCACAATGGAGGGACAACTACGCAGGTTGATTTTAGCACTGCTCATCGTGGACTATATTGCTGTCATTGTTCATTTTAGTCAAACCATACAGTTTGAAAACGAGGCGCGGCTCCAACTAGAAAACAAAGTTTTGATGCATTGGATGTGCTGAATGTGCATATTAAGGCAGTACAGTTGGATTGAACCGAACCAAACAGGGCAGGTGTGAAAGCACCACAAAAATATGGGAAAATAGGGTCCTAGTTAAAAAATACTAAAGTTACTCTTAAAGCAATTTCTTGTTTGGATTTCAGAGACACACCTGTGCTATCCAGGTACATATAAGTAAACTAACGTGCCCTCTTACCATGTCTCCCTTAGCATTATTTGTTCTCACTGTGACATAAAACTATCTCACTCTACAAGACTAAAAAACACATGTGTCCTCTGACTACAGGAGCAGCAGTGCCAGCCTCTCACAGGCAGTACTGGATGGAGTCTCTGCACTCAGTGGCCACAGCAAAGGTCGGCTTAATTAAACCTGTTTAACCTCACATTAAACTCATTTGTTTTCTCACCGTAGTTTTATTAATTTATTTTCTTTTTCTCATCTTGACCTCTGACTCTCGTTCCTTTAGACTACGGCTTGGTGACCACCCCACAGCTCCACTACATGGTCTGCTGTAAGAACACAAGCGGTAAATACGGAGAAGCCACAGTGGAGGGATACTATAAGAAACTCTGCCAAGCCTTCATTCAGCTCACAAAGAATGTAAGGGAACAGGGCGTGTCGTGTGTTATTGTGACTTCATTCAGTGCATGTGGGTGTGTTTGTGCATCCAGGAATCACTCTTTTCTCCTTCCCTCCGTCTTTTTCCTCTCTGGTAGGCATCCAACTGTACAGATGACCAGAAGCACCTCTCAGTGGACGGCGCCAATGGTATCGGGGCTCTAAAGGTGCGGGAGATGGAGAGTCACCTGAAGGGGGAGCTGCACATATCGCTGTTCAACGACGGGAGCACTGGAAAGCTCAACCACCAGTGTGGAGCTGACTTTGTCAAAGTGCAGCAGAAACCTCCAACAGGTGCGACTAAGCTTTCAGGTCTTGTCAGAAGAAGCAACAGGTTGAGATGCAGCTGGAAATTATTTGTCTCAAAGGAAAATCATTTTTATAAATAGAGCGACAACAAAACAGTAGGTATGATAAATTATTTCTGTGGCTTATTAGGAATGGATACACAGATGTAGTGTTTGACCACAAGATGGAGACTATTAATCAGAAAACTTCCCAAATAATGACGGTTATATTTGGTCTTACACTCACTCTATATGACATCTGTGCTAAATTCTGTGTCCCTATATTTGCCTTTTTCAAGGTCATCTAGATTTTTCAGTGTTCACCAAGAGAAAACTTGAACATTAGAAAGACAGGTGCTGCTTTTAATTCACCACGTCCATCTTGTATCGCTGTCTCCTCTTCTCTCTCTGTGTGAAGGCATTAAGATGAACCCAGGGGAGCGCTGCTGTTCCTTCGACGGCGACGCCGACCGAATCGTTTACTACTACACTGACTCTGAAGGACACTTTCACCTGCTGGACGGAGATAAAATCGCCACTCTCATCAGCACTTTCCTTAAAGAGCTGCTCACACAAGTACACGCCCAAATACAAACATGGCAGCGGTTAACAGGCCCATGTACACACATCCTAAGTAAACAGTTTCTTCGTGTTCATACAGGCTGGTCTAGACTTGAAGATAGCAGTGGTGCAAACTGCTTATGCTAATGGAAGCTCAACAAAGTACTTGGAAGACACCATGAAGGTGAGAAAAGACCCTTCAGATTAATCTTGTTTTCTGAACACAAATATACAGACAACACAGCACATGAAGCAAAACAACACAAATACACTTACACAGCTCTCCCAGGCATAGCCACTCCCACACCCACTGCACCGCCACCCCAACCCCCCAAAATGCCAGTATAAACACAGTTAAACTATATAATGACCTATATGGGATGAACAATTGTTTTAAAGATGGATGTTTTAATGAAATGCTGATGAATAATGACTGAATTCGCTGACACACGTTCATGTAATGTAGGTGATAGTGAGGTGCACCAAAACTGGAGTGAAGCACCTTCATCATGCAGCCCAGGAGTTCGACATTGGCGTGTACTTCGAGGCCAACGGTCACGGAACTGTGAGTAGATCAGACACACTTAAACAAATCACACCAAGCAATGCTCAGTTGGTACTAAGGGGCCCAAAGTGTGCCAAGAAAATATCCCCCACACCATTACACCACCACCACCAGCCTGAACCGTTGATATAAGGCAGGATGGATCCATGACGCCAAATTCTGACCCTACCATCTGAATGTTGCAGCAGAAATCCAGACTCATCAGACCAGGCAACATTTTCCAATCTTCTGTTGTCCAGTTTTGGTGAGCCTGTGTGAACTGTAGCCTCAGTTTCCTGTTGTTAGCTGACAGGAGTGGCACCTGGTGTGGTCTTCTGCTGCTGTAGCCCATCTGCTTCAAGGTTGGACGTGTTGTTGGTTCAGAGATGGTCTTCTGCAGACCTTGGTTGTAACCAGTGGTTATTTGAGTTACTGTTGCCTTTCTATCATCTTGAACCAGTCTGGCCATTCTCCTCTGACCTCTGGCATCAACACTGGATATTTTCTCTTGCTGGGACCATCCTCTGTAAACCCTAGAGATGGTTGTGTGTGAAAATCCCAGTAAATACTCAAACCAGCCCGTCTGGCACCAACAACCATGCCACGTTCAAAGTCACTAAATCACCTTTCTTCCCCATTCTGATGCTCAGTTTGAACTTCACCAGGTAGTCTTGACCATGTCTACATGTACTGAGTTGCTGCCACGTGATTGGCTGATTAGCTATTTGCTTTAACCAGCAGTTGAACAGGTGTACCTAATAAAGTGACTGGCGAATGTAGTTGCCTATTCATTTTCTGTCAACCCCCATTGTTTTAGCTTTAAATTTACTACGTTACATTCCACCACTGCCTAACATATCATGGTGTGTTGAGGTGTGTGTCATGATGTGTTTCAGGTGTTGCTCAGTAAAGCAGCTGAGGAGAAGATCCAGCAGCTGGCTGAGAACTCCAGCACCAACGAGGAGAAGAAGACAGCAGCTCTCCTGCTGCAGAACACCATGAACGTCATCAACCAGGTGGACACACATACATGTGAACAGACACTGCACCAATAAAGCAAAACTGCGTCATTATTATTATTGCCCTCACTCACAGCTGTGATGTGTTATTTGTATTTTTATTATCCTGTAAAGACTGTAGGTGATGCCATCTCTGACATGCTGCTGATCGAGGCCATAATGGCCATTAAGGGTATGACTGTCCAACAGTGGGACGCCATCTACAGCGACCTGCCAAACAGGCAGCTTAAAGTCAAGGTACTTGTTAATTTATGTATTATAACGTATAATATTTCTGATATGGGGAAAATTGTTTCTCGTCAACATGCAGGAGCTGCTACAAAACAGGCCTTGGATGTCCATGAATGTTTGAGAAAATGTGTAGCTGAATGGATATATTATACAGTCAGGTCCATAATTATTTGGACAATGATACAGTTGTTGTCATTTTGGCTCTGTACACCACCACAATGGGTTTTAAATGAAACAATGAATACCTGCTTAAAGTGCAGACTCTCAGCTTTCATTTAAGGCTTTTTTCAAAAATGTAGTATGAACCGTGTAGGAATGACAACCATTTCTTCACACAGTCCCCCAACTTTAAGGGCTCATAAGTATTTGGACAAACTAACATAATCATCAATTAAACAGTCAGTTTTAATACTTGGTTGCAAATCCTTTACAGTCAATGACTGCCTGAAGTGTTGGACACATAGGCATCATCAGATGCTGGGTTTCTTCCCTGGTGATGCTCTGCCAGCCCTTTACTGTAGCCGTCTGCACTTCCTGCTTGTGTTTTGGGTGTTTTGCCCTCAGTTTTGGCTTCAGCAAGAGAAACGCATGCTCAGTTGGATTCAGGTCAGATGATATGACTTGGCCATTGCAGAACATTCCACTTCTTTGCCTTAAAAATGTCTTTGGTTGCTTTTGCAATATGCTTCAGGTCAATGTCCAACTGCACTGTGAAGCATCGTCCATTGAGTTTTGAAGCATTTGGTTGAATCTGAGCAGATAATGGTGCCCCAAACACTTCAGCTTTCATCCTGCTGCTCTTGTAAGCAAGACAAGACTTCATTAGAATAAATACAGAGGGTTTATCACAAGATGCAAACCATTGGTTAGCCTTAAAAATGGAAGGCCAGATTAAAGTTTGTCAAAAACCATCTAAAAAGCCTGTACAGTTGTGGAACAGCATACTATGGACAGATAAAACAAAGATCAACTACCAGAATGATGGGAAGACAAGAGAAGGAAGAAGGGAAGGAACTGCTCATGATCCAAAGCACACCACCTCATCAGTGAAGCATGGTGGAGGTACTGTTATGTCATGGCCATGTATGGCTGCCAGTGGAACTGGTTCTCTTGTATTTATTGATGATGTGACTGCTGAGAAGAGCATCAGGATGAATTCTGAAGTGTTTGGGGCTACATTATCTGCTCAGATTCAATTAAATGCTTCAAAACTCATTGGACGATGCTTCACAGTGTAGTTGGACATTGACCTGAAGCATACTGCAAAAGCAACCAAAGACATTTTTAAGGCAAAGAAGTGGAATGTTCTGCAATGGCCAAGTCATATCATCTGACCTGAATCCAATTGAGCATGCGTTTCTCTTGCTGAAGCCAAAACTGAGGGCAAAACACCCAAAACACAAGCAGGAAGTGCAGATGGCTGCAGTAAAGGGCTGGCAGAGCATCACCAGGGAAGAAGCCCAGCATCTGATGATGTCTATGTGTCCAACACTTCACACAGTCATTGACTGTAAAGGATTTGCAACCAAGTATTAAAACTGACTGTTTAATTGATGATTATGTTAGTTTGTCCAAATACTTATGAGCCCTTAAAGTTGGGGGACTGTGTGAAGAAATGGTTGTAATTCCTACATGGTTCATACTACATTTTTGAAAAAAGCCTTAAATGAAAGCTGAGAGTCTGCACTTTAAGCAGGTATTCATTGTTTCATTTAAAACCCATTGTGGTGGTGTACAGAGCCAAAATGATGACAACTGTATCATTGTCCAAATAATTATGGACCTGACTGTATGTAACAATCATCAACATCCTGAGGAGCTGCTTCTGGTAGTTTTTTAATATATGATATTGGTTTTAAATGTGATTTCTTGACTTGATGAGGTCCTTGTCTGGTTTTGACCTAAACATGATATTCATTATGAGTCCTTAAATTTCACCATCAAGGCCTTTATTATTAATAAAAGTACTTCAATTTGATATACCTGTGACTGCAGTAACTCTAGACCTGGCAAGGTGTCGGTGTCTCGGTCAAGAACACTTTCAAAGACAGCAGGAGAGCAGAGTTGTGACGATACGCTTTTGCTGTTTTGTGTATAACCTGCACGCCTATCAGAGCCACGTCCACACGAATATATGTGCACGAGCAGTTATAGATAATTGTATCTGTGCTTGATTTTTTTTCCTGCAGGTGTCGGACCGCAGGGTGATAGACACGACAGACGCAGAGAGGCGAGCAGTGAGCCCGGCAGGACTGCAAGAGGCCATCGACAGTCTGGTGAAGAAGTACAAACAGGCCCGCTCCTTTGTGAGACCCTCCGGCACAGAGGACGTGGTGAGAGTTTACGCCGAGGCAGAGACACAGGTGAGATTTTCTTTCCTTTGGACATCTTCTTGTCCTTTTATTTCTATTTTTTATATTTATTTCCTTTCATTCTCTGATACATATTTGTGTTTCAGGAGAGCGCCGATGCCCTTGCACATGAAGTCAGCCTTGCAGTGTATCGTCTCGCAGGGGGAGTGGGGGACGAGCCCAAACCATTGCACTAGAAACACCCAGAATCACACTTTGACTAATCAGTCGGTGCTTTTAGAACACAATCCCAGCAGACGACATCAATCTCTGAAGTAATTTATCACAATTGCTTCTTCACGGTGAGATGTCAAATTCTATTGTACGGTTAATTGCACTTGGTACTTCACTGTTGTTTTCTACTTCTTTATATTTGTCTGTCAGTGTGAGGATGTGATACAGCAGGGGGGAGACAATGAAGGGAGTTTATGACACTTTAAGTCATACTACTCATGGCTTGTTATTGCATCTCAGTTGTCTTCGCACACACATAAAGAAGGTTTTAAAGGAATACGTCATCCCGGAAATGACTATTTGTACATCAATTGCTTACCCCGTGTTATGTTGAATTTGTGAAGAAGACTTCGATTTTCTTGCATGTCTTAATGGTGAACGAAGGAACCAAAACCAGAGAAAATTCTTAATAAACTGAAGTCATTGGGGTCCACGTTTAACAACAGCTAAACTATATCAAATCGTATGTTTACAAACTCGTATACTCAGTGCTTCACAAACAGAAAACCCTCTCTGACGGGGTACTCAACTAAATGTGAAACTAATCCACGCTCTCTTCAAAGCCAGACTCCATTGACAAAAACAGCAGTTTTACCTCACTGAACACAGGAGCTGCTGGTCTACCTCTGCCTCCATCTGTAGTATGTTTGTGTTATTGTGTGAGTTTGGTGAATCCGAAATAATCCTTTAAAACACCAAAGTTTCACAATAACAACAAGCAAGCTAACTGATCAAGGCAGAGGTAGACTAGCAGTTTTTGTCAATGGAGTCTGGTTTTGAAGAGAGGATAGATAAGTTTGACATCAAGTTCAATTCCCCGTCAGTTTGTAAACAGATGTTTGATATAGTATTGCTGTTGTTAAATATGGTCCTCTTTGACTTCAATTCATCAGGAATTTTCTGAGTTTTGGATTCTTCACTCACCGTGGAGGCATGTTAGGAAAAACAAAGTTTTCTTTACAAATTCAATGTAACATGGGGTGAGTAATAGATATATAAAAGATCATTTGGGTGGTGAAGTATTCCTTTAATGGTTTCAATCAACTTCTCATTTATCGTCTACGAAATGGAATCTTTTTTTAACCAGTTAGTGTAATTTCTTACTTTTTTGAAACAGCGAAATCACAAGTTTACATGAGGGGAGTTGTAGCAGTTGTTTTTCCCTTGAATCTGTCGGAAAGCCTTTGCTACTTTGGTTTGAATAAATAATCAAAAAGACAAAAGACTCTTTTGATTTAAATGAAAACCACAACTATGATTACTTGCTGTTTATTTTGTTACTTTGACAGACACGTTCCCAACACACAGGAGGATTAAAAGAGCAGAAAGGCAGTGTGAGGCAGGCAGAGGGGTTAAAGCAGGCAGAGCAGAGTGACTGAACACAGTGTTACTTTCTTAATATGAACTCTCCATGCTGCTTGAATTCAGGTTGTGTTTTCTTTCCAATTCAACATTGAGTTCTAGGATTTTTAAAGCATTAAAATAACCGAAATAACACGACATGGAACTTTGGTGTGCAGTATATAGGTTGTTCAGGGAGACGTGCGTCTATTCTTCATCTGTGTCGTCCGCCGCTCCAGAAATGATGATGGTGCGCTCCTGTGTATCGCTCTCATAAGTGTCCTCATCTGTCTTAACTGTTCTGGGAAAAAAGGGGTGAAGAAAAAGACACTTTATCGTACCAGTAAGGATTCTGATTAACAAATCATAAATGTGGGAAGATAGACGTTGTGTGCCCTCTACCTGATGAGGACAGTCTTCCTCTCAGACGTCTCAGTTGCCTGCTCCTCTACGTCACCGTCTGTCTGGGTGTCTGATGAGGCCACCTCCACTCTGGCAGCACCCGCAGATTTCTCAGTCTTGCTGCTGGTCGTGGCACTGGGGGGTCCGTCTAGCTTTGAAGTGGCAGCAGGGTCGGAGCTATCAGAGGCCGAAGCTGAGGCGTGCACGCTAACACTGGAAGTGAGATGCCTGCCTCCAGTTAGGGACAGGTTTTGGACCATGGTGCTCAGACGGTTGTCCTCCCCCTCGATCAGCTTCCTGATATAAACAAAGGAGAGTGAAGGTAGAGTGAATGCTGCATCAAAAACGAAAAATATCCTGTGTAAGTCAGGTTTAATTCTGTTTAAATGGCATGTTTTGTTCACCTGTAGGTGGTGATCTCTATCTCCAGAGCCATCTTTGCATTCAGCAGGTCCTGGTATTCCCGCAGCAGCAGCGCAATCTTCTCCTTGGTCACCTTCAGATCCAGCTTAATCTCCTCTATACGCTCCTGGTGCAGTAGAATACAACATAATTGTTTTATTTTAAGGAGTTTGAGGCCAGATGATGACTAAAGTCTTTATATTCTTAAAAACATCTCGTGTATCAACAATCGTGTCAGTCACCTGCAAGTCCTCCTCCTTCTTCTTGTATTTTTCCACTAGATCACGAATCTGAGCCTCCAGAAACTCATTTCTCGTCTTCAGTGCCTCCAATTCATGCTCCTTGCTAAGAAGCTACACACACACATGCACCCACAGTTGTTTTATGCTGAGAAGAAACAGCCGTAGTGACCATGAACAACAAGAGAAAATCATACTCACATCCTTCTTACAGCCTGCGATTTCCTCTCTCACACTTCGAGTGCTTTGAACGTGTTTGGTGGAGGCGTCAGTCAGGTCCTGGAACTTTGTCCGGTACCAAGAGTCCATTTCCTGGAGAACAACAGACATTAACAGTGTCTATTACCCAAATACTGAGTGTGTCAGTTATGCTGATGACATAACAGTATTTGTTACAGCTCGTGAATGTGGTTTAAAGAGACAGTTCACCCCAAGCCAAGTCCCATCTAGTTCTGTTATGTTGGAGAAAAGGCAGACATCTCCAACACTCAGCAACTCACACCAAAACAATTTACACTGATAAATAGTACTACAGGTAGGACAACTTTGGAGTGAACTGTCCCTGTTGTCGTGCATTAGAAGATTTGAAGTGACCATGATGTGGCTTCACTGTTGCACACTACCTGTAGGTTTTTGGCGGCAATGCTGTCATACTGAGACTGAATCTGTCTGAGAGCAGAAGATATGTCCGGGAGGCCAAAGGTCAGGTCCACCTTGGTGGTTGCTAAATAAATCTGCTGCATCAGCTCCTCGATTTCCTTTAAGTGGATCACAAACAACCAGAGTTAGAAAAATAGAGATGCATGCAGCACTGAAACAAGTTTGAAATACAGGTCCATATTACTTTCTAGTCCAAGCATTGATGGCCATCTTTGTTTCTGTCTTTCTTTCTCTGCTACATGTTTGTGCAGCAAAAATCACAAGACCAAAAGTCACCAAAACTGGCAAGTGGGTTGCAAATTCCACCAATGACTCAGGTAATAGAATGGCACTCACTTACCTCAAGACGGTGCTGTAAAAATCAAGTTACATTTTTCGCAATTATCTTGAAAACTTTGTGACTTTTTCTCAATTTCCTCAAAGTCTTTTTTTTTTTTTTTTGGAGAACTCATCAAAAACATTCGGCCAATTACAAATGTGAAAAGTTAATATCTCCTAAATGGCTACAGGAATATGTACGAAATTCAAAGATCTGCTTGGACCCCAGTCATTGTCGTTTGGGCTATATTAAAACAGTATTTCGTCTGGGTATGGAATAAGGAATCTCTGCATCACGTTAGTCACACTGCTTCCCCCCTCAGCTTCCTATGAGCCTCTCACACCATGCCCATAATTACCATATTTGCAGCCTTGCTCACTCTATCCATCAACAAGGTCTTGATTGAAGTCTAAGCTGTCACTGTAATAATTACCAGCCCATTAAACCATTAATGACAGAATGAAAGGAATGTCAGCCACCAGCCACTGACTCATAAACACAGTAGGATGGGATGGAGAGACTATCATATGTTACCTCCTTGTGAACTCTCTGCAGGAAGGCCAGCTCCACCTCCAGGTTTTGCAGCTGTTTTTCCAGTGTGATCCGTGCTGATGTTGCCTTATCCACATCCTGGGGCAGTGGACCACATAAAGTTTGAATGGTTTGGTGAAATGAAAGTTATGTTTTGCTCATATGCCACTGAATTCTCACTATTTTCAAAGTTGTGGAAAGGCTTTCTACTGTTTCTTACCGGACGGAGATTCTCGATGTCTAGCTCCGTCTTCTTCCGGGTGTTCACAGCATCATCATATTTGGCCTTCAGCATGTCCAACTGGCCCAACATGGCCTCCTTGGCTGCCAGAGACATATCCTGTACAGATCAGATATTCAATGATCAAACAGTTGAATGGGAACATTCAGGAGATAATGTGGTGGAAAGGAGTATCCATATTTTAAACTACGCCTGGCTTCTAACGTCACAACAAACCCTGATCTAAAAATATGTTGCAACCATGAGACATATCGTCCCTCACCCTCTGGACTCTCATTGCCTCGACTTCCCTGTTGAGGTCCTTCAGCTGAGACTCATACAGCTGCCTCAGGCCTGATGGTCTGACATGGCGGCTCTTCAGGGCCTCGATCTCAGCCTCCAGCAGCTTGTTCTTGGACTCCAGGTTTCTCACCTACAAGAAGCAATACAGTAGACAAAGATGATTAAAGTTGGAAGTACGAAGAAGTAACAATGTTATACATGTGTTGCTTTTTGGTAAAACTGAAGAGAGAGTTATGGGCTAAAGTCTCAGAGAGTTCAGGGTGGCAAATGCCCAAAACAAGTCAGATTGCAAAGTTCAGATGTTGGTAATTTAAAATGATGATAATTTGTGTGGCATTTAAGGAGTGAAATATGCAAATATATTTGGTTGGTCCCTCTTGCCTTTTCAATATACACAGCCAGCCGGTCGTTGAGGGCCACCATCTCCTGCCTCTCAGAAGTGCGAGTCGTCATGAAGGCCTGATTCTCTGCTGAAGCCGCATCCAGATCCAGTTTTGGCCCAAGACCCATGGACATACCAAAGCACAGCGCTCCCATACTCACACTGCTGTAGACAGGAAGACCAGCAGAGAGTTTTCAGTGGTTTATCCATTGCTTTGATTAATTAAAGTTAATTTGTCATTTTTCATTTTGAAAACATTCAGATGCACATATGACTGATTTAAACCACCAACATCTACTCCCACACTCTTGGAAACAAGTGTCCGAGAAGGGTCATTGAAAAAGGTTCTTCCAGAAACTAAAGAGGGAGTCTCTTATGGGGACAAGCCGAAGAACCCTAGGTGGTTCTAGGTAGCCCCTTTATTTCTATGAGTGCATTCATTGCTTATAATGCACTCACACTGTAAGAACTGTTGGGTTTGTTTCTCATTAAAGTTTTACTGGGAACATGAAACACACAAAAAAATCAAAAACAAGTAAAAGGAGTCTCACCTGGTCATGCGGGCCTTACCGGAGATGGCCCTGCGCCCCATCATCCCTCCACTCCGGCTCCAGCTGGCGGACCGGTGGCGGGTCTCCCTGCGGGTGGGAGAGGGACTGGACACCCGGAGCTGGTAGGCAGGAGTGGCGGCCAAGGTGCCCTCGAAATGCCGGCGGTATGAAGACATCCTGTCTGGACTGCGGCTCATTTTGACGCTCCTGTGACTTCTGAGACTTCAGCTGGGGACTGGAAACTGGTCACTCACACCTTTCAGACTGTGGTGGGGTCTTTATACTCTCAGCCCTTCCCTGAACACCACAGAGGAATGTTGAACCTCCCCAACCCAGGGTGAGTGTCCCTGCAAACATCTATCAAGGTGACGTCAATTAAATTATTATAGGTGGCAGAAAGAATCTTCATTTTATGATAATGATGAAATTATCTGTTGACTTACCTGCACAAGAATGTATGTGCCTACATTAACTGCACATATTACTGTACATTTACTCATAATGTTACTGTCGGTGTTTTGCTTATAGTGTATTTAATATCATAGCACATTCATCAATGTCAATCCACATACCCACCCACCCACCCACCCACCCACTCAATCCTCCACCTAGGATATTATTTTAATCTTTTCCCAGTCACAGTGATGCAAACGTGCAGTTGCAGGAAGAACCACTCTGTAGAAATACTGTGTGACAAATCAAAGCCTCACATTCAGGATTTCACCTGAGTAAAGGTACAAAAGTATTAACAGCAACTTGTACTTAAAATATAAATTTAAAGTACTTGTTGGGCAGAGTGGACCCTTTCTGAGAGATTACATGATTATAGACCATAATATTGGAATATTATTATCGGCACATAAGCATA